TTTTTACACATATTGTCGCTGACGTAAACGTTACGTTTCCCCCAAAACGTAAAAAATCCTTTGAATCCTATACTGTTTAATTAAAATTTTTAAATCCAACCTTTTAATTACCTTATAGCTAATAACCCAGCATTTTTCGGAATCCATATTTTTTCATATTCCCGCCTCTGTTTTTTTCCCTACAAATATTGTCACTAAGCTTCCCCAACAAACGTAAATCTGTTTGGAATCCTCTCTTGTTGGATTAAAACTTTCAGTTCTAGCCTTTTTACTACCTTAAAGCAGTTTGGTTTGAATGAAAACGCGAGAATTCTTATGCTTATAAATTAAAACAGATTAGCATGATATTTGTTTTGCAAAAGAAAAAATAAAACGAATAATAATGAAAAAAACCGGATAAAAATGAATAAATATTTTCCCACAACAAACGTAAATGTTGCGAAACACCCTACGACAAAAAGAAAGAAAGAAAAATGCAGGAAAACGAATTTTTTCAATTGTTAATAAATCCAAACACAGAATAACACAGAAACTCGCTCAAAAAAAATTACCAACTTCCGTTAAATAAATAAAAAAAAAAAATGCAACACCGGATGCGAAAAATAATAGTAGGGAAAAAAAGAATCCGTCGTGAATGAATTCACCATTCTGCCAATAGATGGCAGCACGTCAATTCAATCATTTTGACGTTTTTAATTAATATCTTTTTAACTAATTGTAATTTCGGATTTTAAATGGCCGAAATGGATTCCTTGGATTATTCCCAATCTTTTGGTACTTTCCGCGTGCTTCTCCGTTCAGCGGTTCGTGAGGAGATAGCCGGACATACATACATACATACATACGTTTGTTTACCTTCGAATTTTAATAGGATAGATGCCTTCAAATGGGATACTTCCCCAAGAAGTGGAAGAACGCGAAGGTTGTTCTCTTTAACAAGCAGAACAAGGCAGACAACGATCCCTCGGCCTACCGCCCAATCCGTCTATTAGACGCATTGGGAAAGGTACTGGATAAATTAGTGACCCAGCGGCTTTTCCATCATCTTCTGAGCAACAACCTGCTGAACACCAACCAGTTTGGCTTCACACCCGGAAAGAGGGCCACGAATGCCATCCTCGAGATAAAGAACTGGATTGCGGAGGCCAGAGGAGAAGGCAAGCACAGCATCGTTATTTCTCTCGATGTACAAAGTGCGTTCAGCCGGGTGTGGTGGCCAAAGGCTCTCCACTCTCTCAAAGGTCTAAATTGCCCAGCTAACATCTTCAAAATGGTCTCGAGCTTCCTTGATGATAGACAGGTTTTCATCAATTATGATGGCTGCCGCACAAGCATGAAATACTCTGTTGGATGCCCTCAAGGATCTAATTCAGGCCCATTGTACTGACTGCTTATTGCAAACGAAGCCTTCAATCTACAATTTGATGAAGGTGTGAGACTCCTGGCGTATGCTGATGATTTCTACCTATTCATCAAGGCCACGGGTAAGCATACCATTCAAGAAAGAGCAAACAGAGCCCTGGAGCAACTGGATCTATGGGGTAAAGGGGTTAAGATCTCCTTTGCACACCAGAAAACAAAACTTATCCCTTTTGGGAAGAAGGGGGAAATACAAACACCCTCCATACTGCAGATTCGCTGGTAACCCCATCAAACTGGAAAGGAGAATGAAAATGCTGGGGGTCATCCTAGATGACGGGCTAAACGGGATGCCTCACATTAATTACGTACGTGATAAAGTTCAGAACATCTTGAACAGATTGACAATAGCGAAGCACCAACGAGGACTATTGGGCAAGGTGGTAAAGCTATTGTACAAAAGAGCCCTTGAGCGCATCCTGGTTTACGCCGCCCCAGCATGGTGGACTGGAACGGCACGACAGATCCATCGGGTTACCAGCATCCAGCGTCAAATGCTCCTGGCCATTTCAGGGGCATTCAGGACAACATCCACAAAAGCTCTGCAAATCTGCTGCGGTATGGAGCCCATATATCTGGTTCTCGACATGGATGTGGCCTGGTTCAAGATCAGCAAGCTAAAAGAGGATGTCTCACCCTTTGGAAATGTGATTGAGGGTTCCAAGATGGAAACCTATGTGCAAGAATGGCATCACCCTGGAAACTTGACACCAGTGCAGTGGGACGATCTCTCCCCGTCTTCATTATTAGAGATATACACTGACGGATCCAAAATGCAGGACAAAGTTGGTGCGGCATTTTGCATCTTTGGCCCACAGCTGACGGAGGAACATCAGTATCGGCTCAGTGATCACTCTCCGTCTTCCAGGCGGAAACGGTGGCGTTGCAGAGAGCACTTACCTGGAAGAGGGAACACTTCCCAGAAGACCACTGCAACATCTATTCGGACAGTATGAGCGTACTGATGGCCCTCCAGAACTACCAACTTAAAAATAATGCCATTGAGGCAACCAGACAGTTGCTGGATGATTCCGTCTCCCTGCACTGGGTCAAGGCCCACATCGGAGTTGCAGGAAATGAAGCCGCAGACCGTGCAGCGAAGGAAGCGACGCAGAAAGAGGTGGTTGATGTGCACCTGGGAATCCCGGAGCGGACCCTAAAAAGAACTTTGAAGAACGAGCTACTGGCTTATTGGCAAAGAGATTGGGACTCTAGAGAGGAGGGCGTCAAAGGCCTCTTCACACGAAATCTCTTTCCGAAAGCGTCTCTAACCAGGTGCATATCGAACCCCTTTGACATCCAAGTGGCCAAAAACAACGGTTTGTGTCCGCAGGCACAACCACCATTTCCACCGGCCCTTTTGATACATGATACCTCGGGAGAGTCGGGAGATTGTGGTGCCTCCCCTTTGGGTATACAGATTATACAGGTTATGGTAATTCACAGATTCCAGCCAACATAGATTATTACGGATTCCCTGCTGCAAGACTGGGCCCTTGCAGATATTTCAATTTCTAAATGAGGTCCTGCTCATTTCTTTAGATTGTTCTATAATAATCATTGTTTTTATTCAACTCCATCTGTAAATTTCATTGTGTCACCACTCTGCCAGACATGCTTTTTAACGGATTCCCTGCTGCGAGATTTTGCAGCTGTTTCCACTTTTTAACAAGTGGTGTTTGTCGTTTTAACCAGTTCATGCTTTTAGCCTTCACTGTGCATATTCATACTTTTATCAATTACCCTCATTGTTTGTGCCTTCGGCAAACATTGGTGGGTTTTTATTTGAATTATACATTCCTCATGATGGTTTATTACCTTCGTTTATCCACACAGACAGTCCTGGCCCTTTTTCTTTTCTGAGCCCAGCAGACACCTGCCTCTCATATAGGGCTACGGACTGTCTGAACACTTCCAGACGTGAGCATCAGGACCGGGGACTGCAAACTAGAACACGGGATCGGAATACAGGATCAGAATACGGGATCGGAGCGCGGGACCGGAGCACGGGACCAGAGTACGGGACCGGAATACAAAATCGGAGCACGCGACCGGAACACAGGACATCATTTTTGCTTTTAGCGCCCGGGATCGGGGGAGAGAAGGAAATCTTCCTTTTTTTGATTTCATCATTCTCTCATTATGTTCATATTTTGTCGCACGTTGGGACACTTCCCAGTTCCTTTGTCCCCTCTATTTGTTGTTCTAAATCAGTTTACGTTTTAAATTTTATTGGGACAGGATTTTGTCGGGACATTCATCCTCGCCTTGGATATTGGACGTGTTTTGTTTTTATGGTATATCCTTTTATACTAGACCATTGCCAGTATTTCTTTTAGCTTGAAATGTAATTTTTATTGTATATTTCTTCTGAATTGATTTTTATGTGTGTTTTAACTTACCTTTTATCATCTTCATCGCCATGTGGCGTGGTTATATGTCGGCATGTTGGCCGGTTTTCCGCCTTGTTGGCGTAGTGTGTTAGATTTTTAAGAGCTTTCATCATGTACCATCTTTTATGTAATTAATTACTGCTCATGTTTAGAGCAACGTTTGTACTTTTTCTTTTGAGTGATTAATAAATCTGTCCGTGGGGCAGGGGCCCGCTGTCCTCAGCGTGCTCTAGGGGTGCCCTTTTCCCCAGCGGCCCTATTTCGCTTTAAACCATTCTTGGTAGGCGGGGTCGCTGTGGGCATCTAGTTTCCTGGTTTGTGTCCGCAATATCTCAGGAAGTTCAACCTTCGCGACTGCAGCTGCCGATGTGGGGAAGATTCTGAAGACGACGTGCTCCATTTCGTGACGAGGTGTCCGATCCTCTGTCACCTCAGACATTTCATAAAAAGAGACACGACTTCACTTCAGATTCTATCACAACCCCTACTTAGACGAGAAATGAGGAAGATTTTGTATTATGTTCATCAAAATGAAAGTGTGATTTTTCAGTCGAACACTTAACTCTTCTTCTTTCTCGAACTTTAGTTGTGCACAGAGTCCCAGGAGAGTCACCAAAAGCTGTATATATTGTAAATAGTTTTCCAACGTGAATAGTCCTATACTGTAAATTACACATATGTTAGTAAACCACAAGAATGTAAAATTACCCAAGACTTGTAAACCTTATATGTAAATATGTAATCCTTGTGATGGAAATCCTGTACTCGTCACCCTCAACTGTGCCACATGACGTAAAACGTTTTCAGATGGAGCCACAAGCGGCTCCTTGCCTGTCTCCAGCACAGTTGAGGGCACAAAGACCTGTAACATTTTTCCCTCATTATTTGAATAAAGTTTAGTGTTGACGGAGCGACAAACGGAAGGCAGAAAGGTGAGTCTTTTCAGCTCTTTCGGTTAGTGGTGGCCCTGATACTTGTGTCAGCCAGACATCATGCAGACCAGGTTCAAGGTTTATTTGGCATTTTAAATTTTTATTTTTTACGGTATTTTTTTATTTTTTCTCTTTCCCTTCGCATCCAGCACATGTGTTCAAAATTTTTACCTGTAGTCACGCAGGTACATTAAATTCTAAATTTAGTCTTTCACCGGCGTAACGCCATCAAGGCACACGCCATAGAATCATCAGACTTACCAAAAGTGGTCTACTGGGCACTCTTATCCAATCGTACGGCCTTCAGTCATGCAAGGCGGACTTCACCCATTTAAAGTTTGAGAACAGGTTGAGGTCGCTTCGGCCCCAAGGCGAATAATTCGCTTTACCGGATGAGACTGAGTTTTCCGAGCGCCAGCTATCCTGAGGGAAACTTTGGAGGGAACCAGCTACTAGATGGTTTGATTAGTCTTTCGCCCCTATACCCGGATCTGACTATATATTTGCACGTCAGAACAGCTGCGGACCTCCATCAAAGTTTCCTCTGGCCTCGTCCTGTCCGGGCATAGTTCACTATCTTTCGAGTCCCAACATGTATGCTCAAACTCTACCCCACCAATAAATTAGAAAGGACGGGTTGTTTGTGAGACACTCGTGCATAGGGATCCCAACACAATCGGCGTCTAGTCTGACCTTTGCTTTCATTGCGCCTCTAAGCTTATTCGAGACACATTGATAAACAGACATGTTAGACTCCTTGGTCCGTGTTTCAAGACGGGTCGGGTGGGTGACAGATCTCCTCCCCGCTAACCGCCAACTTCCGACTGGTACATAGCAGCCAAAGAGGAAGCTGTCTTTCGCTGGGTCACGGAGTCAGCCCGTGCGCCCGCAAAAGTGCTCACCCCTGCCACTGTATCCAGGAGTCCGCGAACGGAGGAGGCGAAGAAGCCTAAATAGGCCACTCGACACCACGGTCACGCTACGAGTCGTGCGACACGCTGGATAACAGGCAACGATCCAAATGAATGAACCACCGGCCAACTGCTGTTGCGCGCCCTTAAGGCCGTCTCGCAACCGGTTGCGGGGTCCTTCGGACGGGAAACAAATACGTTCCATGAAGCGAAACCTCCTCTAATGAAAGGCCGCCTCCGCGGAACCATAATGAATCTCAAACAAGGAGTCCACGCCAAAACACTGAATCCTCCCGACACAGGATTTCGAGGGCCCACCCGTTTGCCTCTGAGCAGTGTCACGTACTCTATCTTTAAAGTTCTTTGCAACTTTCCCTCACGGTACTTGTTTGCTGTCGGTCCCACGGCCGTATTTAGCCTTAGGTGGAGTTTACCACTCGATTAGGGCTGCATTCCCAAGCAACCTGACACAAAGGAGATCGCATTCGACGAAGGCCTAGAAGCTATGGGCCTCGCACCCACTCTGGGTTTCAGCCCCGGTCAGGGGGACTTGCTGCAGAGTCAACCGCCGGCACTCTCACTCCTAAACGCCACATTT